TCGCTTAACATACGTCACGCACTCCGTTGCTCTTATTGGTTGTAGGTCTATCCAATTGAGTGCAGAGGCATTTTTTTTCCACGCCCCATAATCACAGCTCTATGGAGCAGCATCAGACTCATATTCAGACTAGAATTGAGTAGGACTACGTCAGGCTAACATCACCCACCAGAACTCAAAAGCAATGTGAAAAGCATCTCTAATTACTGGTATTCCACCAAACACTGATTTCTTGACTCTTCCAAAATAAAAAGTGTTTCAAAATGATGATGAACTTCTTTTCTTTATATAAATTCAGGGCTGAATTTTTTTTCAATACTTTAGTCCTTTTTTTCTAAGAAATGCTAAGAAAATTTTTATTTTGGAATTTTGGAGGAAAGCTACAGCTTAAAGAGTAAACATATTTATTCAAGTCAAACATATGTTTAAGGGCTGAAACAATCGGATTAATTGTGATTGATTCTTGAAATAATTGTCAACAAATTTAGTAACGGATTAATCATTAAATGGAGGATAGAGACTGTAAAACAAGCCTTTAGCTGATAGAGCGACCCACTTAGAGCAGTAATTATATCAAAGTTGTAAAAAAAAAATACATTTGGCTGGCCAATGACTGGGAAGGGCCATTTTGAATGGCTGCTACTGTATATACACATTTTTCATTTCAGATGAAAAACCTTTTTTGTCTGTCAGTATGCTCCATCCAGAACTCTAGTGGAAACGTTTCAGTTTCACCTGGTTTCATTTAGTGAAAAATCTTCTTTATGGAATCTTTGGCTACTCGATTATTAATCGATTAATCAGAAAAATTATTGACAAATTAATTAATTTGCAAAATAACCGTTAGTTGCATTCCTAATATGTTTAGAGAAAGATTTTTTCCAAACATGTCTCTATTATCACAGAAACTCGTCTTTATCAACCATCCACACTGCTCTGGTGACACTCCCTGCTCTTTGCTGTGTCATGAAGCTGACAGCAAGTTCCCACACGAAATTCTACCTGTTGGCCAGCAGAAATATTCAGACTAAAATAGATTCATTGTCTTGGGGGAAGCAGTGGAAAATTGAATATATAAAGAAAAACAAATTATCCTGCATGGGCTTGATACCAAAAACGACTTCAAGGTTTGTGGAGGATAAAAAAAACCCCAATCAGATCAATTCCTGTTAAAGTCCAAGCAAACTCCAAATGTTTGCCATTGTAGGACAAACAAGGTGAACTCTTTCTGCCGTTTATCTACCTTTTTTTCCTTTAAAATATCCTTTTTATTATGTGGATAGATATAGTTTAATCCATGCACAGCATTTTTTTTTGTTTTTTTTTTGTATTTATTAAATATCAATCCCTATCAGAAACGACAGCTTAGTTTGGAGTGAAAATTTGTATTTTAATTAATATATTCATAAAAACTAATAAGATGGCTTTTGGACAGGGTTCATTGAGATTTATGAGACCAGACATTAAAAAAAGACCCATCAACTGTTGCAGTAAGGAGACATTGGTGACATTGTTTGTTGTTTTGTCCAGCTTCGAGATAACAGGAAAACTATTCATGTCTGGATCATTCCACAGACAGTTGCTTTCCAAGGAAACTACTGTGTGAGTTACACAAAATACACACAGTGACACATTCCATCACTACGAAGTTTTTCTAACCAAACCTTCTCCATTAGACAGTGATTGAAAGCCAGAAACCAGCGGCTTGCTCACCAGTGCTCCTTCAGGGCCGAACATCTGCAAGAAGTTACCGATGAACTCTCTGGACTTCTCCTCCCATTTCTGGATGAGGTCGATACTCTTCTCCTCCACCTTCTGGACAAACTCTTTGCTCTTCTCCTCCACGTCACGCACTTTCCTCTTAACCTTATCCACTCGCTCCTGTAAGTGGTACTTCTTCTCCTGAGAAAAGCAAACATCTTGAATCATTTACAGATTTCTTTCCAAACCCTCTTGGCAGTAGAGAGGACAAAATGAGGCGGCAGAGGATGAAGCAACAATGGCGACCGCATCTGTCCTATTAATAAAAGTCATACATTGATGAAGCTGACGTTGAGCTCTTTGGCTGTGTAACCTCTCTGCAGGTTGCGTCTCACATACACATCGTAGTCCCGCACTATGCGAGTGATGATGTCAGAGGTGGAGATGCCCTCTGTCCGCTGGGTGGGAGCAAACATGCCTGCCAAACAGAACGGTAAGAAAAATGCTGTCACTTTATGAAGGAAAGTTTCGATTGCAAAGGGGGTCAAATAATCAACCAACAGAATCTGATCATGAGGTCCTTTTTTGGGATATGTCCCACTGAGAGGACGCCCATGGATAAACCCAGGATTTTGCAGAGGGACTGGATCTCCTGTCTGGTCTGGAAACCCTTTAGGAATGAGCTGGAGGGGTGTCTGGTTTTTCAGGAGGGAAACCAAGACACCCCAACATTTAAATATTTTGGTTCTAAAAGCCACAACATATATAACATAAAGCAGCACATACTTATGAAGTAAAAAAAAAAGAAAAATCTGGAAAGTGTGGCTGCATTTCTACTCAGCCCCTCCCAGTCAATACTTTGTAGAGCGCCCATTTGGTGTAATTAAAGCTGCATGTTTCAGGAATGTGTCCATAATAGATTCAACTTCCAGATCTTCTAAGCAAAATAATCTCAGTTACATCAGATAGGATTAAGAATCAGTGAACAACTAATAGCGATATGATTTCGGTGGGCCGATGTGAGCAGAGCACCTCCATCTGCCAATGAGACAAAACGTAACCAAAATTACACACAAATGTCATTTGAACTGTTCCTTATTCTACAAATACACACTAATACTAAACACTAAACTGCAGCTAGAAATAGATATAACTCTGTTGCATGAATCATCATAGGTTTTGCTTATACATGTATTGTCTGGGTGTCTATGCGATACTCGCTCTTCCTGTGGCTAGTGTTTGTTTTTTGTGGGTTTTTTTTTTATTTCCTGCTTTGTTTTGTTCTCCTTTTTCTTTCCCTCATGTTTCATCCAGGTGCAGAAGCAGACTTCTATAAGCTACTGTAAATTTTCTTATCCTTTCCCTTTCTGTCTCCTTTGCATATGATTTTATTCCCTAATCCATTACTAATAAAGCCTCACATCTATTTACCAAATAGAGCCACAAGGGTCTACTTGTGGAAGCAAATCAGTTAGGCTACCATCGAGCTCAAGGACAACAATTCCAACAGTTATATTGCCAAAACAGGACACACAGGAAAAAACAAAAAACACGACATCTTTATTCTAAAGGATTTAAATAGTCTGTCCCAAAGTGAATGCATACAAAGACCCTCTTTAGGATTAAACAAAAGAAACTTCTGGAGTCTTTGTGAGTGGATCTCATCGATTTTCTTTACTTTAATTGCCTTACCTGCTTCTTTAATGTGCTTGTACACGTCATCACTTCCTGCTGATATGTATGGGATGTCATCGTGGGCCACAAAGTCAATCTGGAGATGTCATGACAAAATACATCACTCATAACAGCTGATTCAGATCTATAGTTTGTACAAGATCAGAACCACGGACAGAAGCAGCCAAACAGCGATAGGAGGTTACAGATGATGGGAGGAGACCAACACCTCTTGAAGGCTCTTTTACAAGTTTGGAACCATTTTCAATCCAAAGCTTCAATGTTCTGCTTGTTTTCTCTTGATAAATGTATCTAAGAATCTTGAACTCTGCTATGTTTTCATATTTTTAACTCACCCGATGCCTAGCAAGGAACTCCGGCGTTAATGTCCAGGGAGCATTTCGCACCACTTCATCCACGTAGCGGCAGTGTCTGACGGCGTCGTAACGCTCGTCTTCATTCATCACAGTGAAGCCCTTGTATTTGTGTGTGAGCTCATCACTGCACACTGAAACGAAATAAAAAAGGGTTACAGAAAATACTGGTTTAACACTTTTCACTATTCTCCTCAAACCAACACATCCAGATTGCGTCTGTATACCACTAGTGCCAGCTGATGTGTCTTCTTGTGAGCCTTTGTGATAGTACAGCCCTGGATGTGTAAAGCGGAACTTAAACAATTATTCCTTTTTATTTGTTTTGCAAATCTGCCTCTCTGATGCAAGTCCAGAACTCCAGCTCAAGCCTGACCGAAGATCTGCTCTGGAAGTTGGTGTTTTAAGAGCTGGAAAGGAAAACTAAAAAAGAAAAGGTGTTTTCAAGAATTTCTGGAAACAAAAATGTGGAAAGGGAATATGATAGAGAGGCAAAGTAAAGCCTAAAGTGGAAAGTTATATCATGTTATCATAAAGGAAGGCATCAGGTGATTTAGCTGCATAGGTTAGAATTGGAAATTAGTCAAGAAGGCAGCTGTAATTATTTTCACATTCCCACAATCACATAAAAATAAATAAAATCAGTAATTTTTTTCCACATCGTAGGAGGAAAAATAAGCATTGCCCCATGCTTTACACCAGCAACCTTACATATGTGTGAACAACTTAAAGCAATCATCCTCCTCTCTATCCAGAGACCACAAACTGTAATTAGGATGCAGACTATTTTAGATGCTTCTTGTTTCCATGACAATGAGAGAATAACCTAAAATGCCCCAGTCTAAGCCTGTCCAAAAACCCTTTTTTCCCTCATTATCCACCCTGTAAGTTTCTTTCTCAATCACACTTTCATCCAGTAGAGGATTATTTTTCCAAAGCGCTATTCTTTTATTAAACAGACTTTATGTAACTGCCAAAAAAAACAACAACACAATCTTCTTTTTTCTAATGATTTAAAATTATGCTATTTATTGACAGATGTTGCAAACTTTAGCTCTAAAAGGCAGCAAGAAATTCTCTCCTGTCCCCAACCCCTCAAGGACATGATATATAAAATAGTGTACACACACAGTTTGCCTGTGTGATGCTTTTTCTAAAATTCTACTTTAATGCATATCAGTTTTGATTGAGGCCGACTGCTAAACTGTTGAAAAAGAAACTCTAAATCGAGTCACCAATTGAGACTCTGCATCACTCTGATAACATCACACCTAATAAAACGCAACTTAAATATTTTCTACTGCATTTTTGCACCATATATATTTATTTTTGCACTGCTCTAAACCTTCCCCATCAATGCCTTTTTTGCACCATGTCTCTCCGAATCTGTTTACATTTAATCACTACTGCACTTTAGAAATGGAAACGTTCCTTTTCACTGTTAAGCTGCTGCTCATTCACTTTTGGAAAGCTGTATAAAACAACATTCTGTTTGTATATGCTCTGTGTATAGAAAATGACCATAAAGTTTGTCTTAGTCCAAGTCTAAAAGTCTAATTTACATTTAAGAATTTGCTAAATAAATAAATAATGTTGACAAGGAATACTGTGGACATTAATCAAAACAATCGTAGATGCTCTTAGAATAAAATGGAAAACAAATAACTACATTGTTATCTGATTGTTTAAATGCTAAAAACATGTTCTGAGTATAAAAGCACTATTTACCAACTGATGTTTCATCTGGACCTTTTCTCACCATATCAGGGTTAAGTTCAGCTAAAATCCACTCTTTTAAAGTAGCTTACCTCCAACAATGAGATGAGAATTTGGGAAGAGACGTTTTGCCTGCATCAGAGCTCTGGCATGACCCGAGTGGAAAACATCAAAGATGCCATCTGCATAGACTCTCACGGGTCTGTTGACTGGGTGCGGAGAAATAAGACAGAGGAATTATTAACATAGTTTACGGAGGTGGATGCAGTAAGTAACTTGAAACAAGTTTACAAAAACAAAAGATCAAGCAGTGCGAGTGATCTCTAAAAGCATGTAGTTAAAATCCAACCCACGGGGTGTCCCCTTCTTTGCCTCTTCCATGGTGACTCTCTCATAGGGTTTATTATCAGCCGGCTCCAGCTCGTCTGCAAAAGGTGCAGGGTTTTTCAGTCCCTAGAAGATACAAATGTATGAAAACAACATTTTATAAAGCAGATTTGCTTTAAACTGACAAAAAAAATTATTCACCAACATAAACATAAAACAATAAGCAGGGGAAAAAAATGTCAGTCTCTAGTTTTGTAATATTTGCCCTCTAATAGAACAGTAGGATGTGGTAATAATTGGTCACATAAGTGAAGCAAGCACTTCTTAACAGAGATCTGCAGGATTTTGAAATTCTACTTCCTTATGTTATTTGCAGCGCTGGCTTGTCTGTCCAGAAAATAAAGGTCAGAGGTCATAGACCATCTATAAGAGCCGACTCACCACGGTACATCTAGGGATTTTCCCAAGTCTTTCCCCTTCTTCAGTGTCCCCATTGGAGCCTTCTCTTCTTCTTTTCCTAGCCATGACCATCTCGTGAGAGCTCTGGGCCTCCATCTGGGCGCAAAGGCAAAAGATGAAAAAAAAAAATCACACATAGCCATGCCTTTAACACTGTCAGGGGTCGATGCAGGGGACGAGTTGCATCATGTCAGGAGACTCAACTGACTGTAAATCTGGACAGCTGTGAGGTTATGGAGGCCGACATGTGCTCGGTCAACTTTGACCCAGAAACACAAAGACTAAGAATCCAGTCTCCAAGTGTTTATTCCTTCAAAAGCATTGCTTAAATTTAAGTTTCTTACGTTGGGTGGAAAGAGTGGATTTTGTCTTGTGATGTAAACGTCACCTGGACCAGCAACATGTAACATTTACTTAAGACATTTTCCTATAAAAACCAGCATCAGGGACCTTACAGTACATGTTATATATATGAAAAAGGCTCACATATACATATATATAAAATACAATGTTATTTTACAATATCCTTTTAGAAAGGATATATTTATAAAGCCAGATTTATCCAAATTGTCAAGTAGGTTTTGCAGCCCTGGACAGTTTCTATTTTAGTAGGAGTCAGGGCAAAAATGGCTCTTGGGATCGTGACGGTTGCTGACCTCTAGAGCTGCACTTTAAATCAGTCTGTGATCCCACTCAAACACTCATCCATCCTGTATGTCAGAATAGAAGGAAAGGCTCAGTCTTATCAGCTCAAGAATGGATTACTCTTTGTGTCTGTGTCTCGTCTGTCGTTCTTCAGCGGGATTCAATCGGTCCAAAATCCAGCTACAAGTATTTTAAATTACACCTCAATCAAATTTTGGAAACTTCTGTTGTTTGCTTTTGCAGCACTTAAAAGTCAGGCATCACCCAGCAGTTCTGATGTACTAAGTTTCTGCATGCATGGTAAACCCCTGAGGTCTTTGTCCCAGTTCCTTCTGAGCCTTCTGAACTAAATATAAACACTGGGGTGAAAGGGGCTTCTCTATCACGACCCCCACTTATGATTTTTTCATTATTCAAACTTAAGACCATTTCATTTAGGAAGGTTCTGAAAACTCAGAAACACTGTGGTATCTCATTCCAAATGTCTTACCTTTACGTTTCATTTGTTTGATTTTTTTTATGGACTTTTATGACCTCATTGTTGTTGTAAAGGGCAATACAAACATATGAATGAATGGTTGAATGAAATGAATACAGCAAAAGCAAATAACTGAGGGTGTGCACACCATTACAAGGTTTCTTGTGTTATGGGTTGAAACAGTGCGCCATTCCACACATTCCATCACACCACCAGTCAATTACAGGGAGGGGTCACTATTTTCACGCATCACTTTTTTTTTATCTGGCTTTTATACTGCAACCAATGCTCTCAATGCACACCTCTAACGGTTTTAATGCTGCAATCAAATGATAAACATGCTGAAAACCAGTAAGTTATGAGAGTGTGACTCCCTGCAATCAGTGATCAATGTAACAGTACACGTCCCAGGTGGTGACAGTGACCTGATCCAACACTAGATATCTTATATAATAACCCCCACCATCCCCTTTTTTATTTGGCTGCCGCAGGAAACCCTGCAGGACTCCAACACCGAACAGCAGATGTCCTTCTCATTTAAACTGACTTCCATAATAAGAAACAAGAGATGGAGGCAAAATCTGACCACAAAGAGAGGCGAACAAGGACAGAAATAAGCTGTGAACCTCATGTAATAGGCTTTACTGTGCCAAACAGGCGATTGTCGATTAACAATGAACTCATTTAAACTGTTTTTATTAGCAGTTTCATTTCCTGGAACTCAAAACATGTTATAACTCAGCTTTTTACCTCAGAGATCCCTCAGATAATAAACATATTCGGCCTCTTTAACACAGGATTCCCACTTTCAAATAAGTTCCTGTCTTCCTGATGGCCACCCTAACAGCCTGACGCTTTGCTTGCATTTCCTAACGCTTCTCTTGATAATGGTAAACTATCACTGGTGGACATTTTTTTTCCCAGAAATATAAGATCTGACTCCAACTTGGGAAAGTTTTCATTTAGTCTGTGACTAAAAACAGCTGAAGGAGTGGTTATTCTAGTGACGCTGGTTTAGTAGCTCAGCCGTTAAAACCCTGACCTGTTGGTTGTTTACATTAAAGCTTCTTATAATTACATTTAACTTACGTTGTTGTATTAATATTAAACAATTTCCTTCGGGTTTTTGCTCTTTTGGAAACTTACCGTTCAATCTTTTGTCCCGGAACCCTGATTTAAAGGGGTGGGCGGATTCCAACACCTCGTCCTGCCAGCAAGCTTTGCAAACACCACTGGCCTCTGTCGAAAGCTAGCTGTCAAGTTATGCGGCTAAGTTAGTTAGCTTAAGCCGTTAGCATGGTACTTATCTGACATAATTAACACGAATAAAAACTCCCTGAGCGTCAAAAGAAGCGGTTCTTAATACTTCGATGCGAGCATTAAGCGACCACCGAGAAGATGGATAGTGTATTAGCAGTGACAGCTTGTACTACAACGCTGACAGGTCACCAACACAAGAACTACAAAGCTAAGACATCCTAAAAGGAAATACCCTGTGAGCTACTTCCGGAAGAGTGTCTTATTTGCTGCCCTCTACTGGGCAAACGGGGCATTGCCACAGCGTGCCTTATTTCACAGTTCATCACGTTACAGCATAGAAAGTCATAGGTTTTGATAGGAAATTTTAATAAAACAAAAATGGAAGAAAGATATTCTCATTAGAATCGGGCCTTGTTTAAAGGTTAAATCTATAACACTGAATTTTTAACCAGTGCAATTATGTGTTTGATTTGTTTTACTTTAAATTCAACAGCAAATGTGTCCCCTGTGAAAATGCTACTGCAGAAATTCACATATTAAAAAAGTCTGTGTCATAAATTCAGTTGCAAAAATGCACCTAAAAAAATCAAATGCAAAAACATCCCCTGCAAATACTAAACTGCACCTGTAAAATTTTACCTGCAAAAAATTCAAATGCAAATTTTGATGACTCAGGCAACAAACAAAAAAACAAAAACAAAAACAAAAAAAAAAAGAAAGAAAAGAAAAGAAACAAAAGAAAAATTAGAAGTAGAGATTAAATTAAGCGGCTTTTAGCCAATCAAATTACACTGATTTGATTTGGTAGGGGATTTTTTTTTTGTTTGAATTTCTTGCAAAAATTTGCATTTGAAATTTTTCATGTGAAATTTTGGCTTATTAATATTAAGTAACAAATTCAAAGACATAATGGTTAATGCAATGGTTAAAAAATTCAATGTCTAAACAAATCCTGATTCCAATGAGACTTTTTCTCTTCCATAAAGCATCCTCTACAGTATCAAAAGGACCATGTAAAAAAAATATGTATAGCTTTAAAAAAAATATTTGCAAATGAAAGTGCATGTTTTTTGTTGTATTTTAATAAGATTCTATAAAAACTAATGGTTACACATACATACACACGCAGTGGTTGTTCTCAGAGAGTCCACTGGAGGAGAAAAGGGTTCCTTCTGCTACAGCATCAACCATACAGCCAGACTGATTTATTTCCAGAAGGCATGGGGGATTTTAACCAGCTCATTCCTTTAAGGTGCTTTAAAATCCATTTGTTATGATTTATAAAAACCAAAACCATTTCTTCTTTAAGACAATAAAGACTTAATCATAAATGCAACAAAACAAACAAAAAATTATAATAAAGTCATTTATAAACATTTGAACAGTATTATTTTCCTTTTCCTTCTGAGCAGCTGTTTTTACTGTTTTTTAGAGTGTTAACCTTTAAAGAGTCTGTTTTGCCCTGCAGAATGCTTTATCTTAGGGTATAATTTAAAGATCACAGAGGTAAATGTTAGAATAATTGCCACATTCAGAGTGTTGCGCCTCAGAAGCTGCTGTAAACAAAGTAGAACAATGATCCTCTATCTGTAAGATCAGTCTTTGAAATATGTTTTCTTTCCATAACCTGGACCGAACATAATTTTTTTAGGTTGCTCCAGGTGCGTAGTTGTTTTGAAGATATCAGAAAAGAAACAGAACTCAATGACCCCATATTCCAAATTTTTTATTGATGCTTATCAAGGAAAATCCAGCAAGGGCGTCATCTCCAGAATTTATAAAGGCCTATTTTCTACAAAGTCCCACAATACAGATTATGTTAGGAATAGGTGGGAGAAGGAGGGTAATCTGTTGATACCTGAGGATTGACTTGACATTTACCAATCCCAGTGGAAATGCACCAGCTCTCAATCATGGAGAGAGTTTGGTTGGAAGTGTATGATCCATTTCATTATTACACCAAAACAATAGACACATTTTACTAGAGGGGAAGCTGGGTGTTGGAGGCAATGTGGACACCGTGAAGCTGATCATTGGCTTATCTTTTAGGAAAGCCCAGTGGTTAGACCTTTTGGGGCAGAGCTTCATAAGGTACTAAGCAGTCTGTTTAATACTAATCCTCCTATGCAGTTTATGCATTGCATTATCTAATGCAGTGCATTAGTTTTAGGAAATTTTGTTTTACAGGTCAGAAAAGCTGATGAATATTTATTTGGTATTCCGATAACCGATGCTAAAAAAAAACTCACAAGACATTGGTCGGCCCCCAACCCACCCACAATACAAGAGTGAATAAGTTATTTAAATGACATTTACCTTGGAAAAGATCACCTTCTCCCTCCGACTTCAAAAAACCATATTCAGTAAGAGGTGAGCCAAGTGGGTTAATTATTCTGGTCTTTTTTTTTTTTTTGTTTAATATATGTTTATTAAGTTTCCAAAGTGCAACATACAAAAATCACACACCCGAGTATACAGCATACATATATAAAAGAAATTATGGTCTAAAAAAAAAAAAAATTCTTACCAATAATAGTAATAATACAAAAAAAAAAAAAAATCAACAACAGAGGGAAAAAGAAAAGAGAAAGGCAGGAAGACAAAAAAAATGGAAACAAGCCAGACAAGTTATCTAAGTAACGGTTACACTGCACTGATTACCATTTACACTTTAAGATAATACTACATATCTATGAAGGCACGGGTAGCATACTAAGAAACTGAACGGCTGTCTGGGTCAGTCTTAGACTGAGAAATATGGTCCAGAACTGAAATATTCTGGTCTTGAACAGACAGAAGTACAGAATGGGTGACCATGCAATACTCGCCATTTAATTCTTTTTTTTCTTATATTTTGTAGCGTCTAAGGCAAGGCAAGGCAAGGCAAATTTATCTGTATAGCACAATTAAGTACAAAGACAATGCAAAGTGCTTTACATGATTAAAATATAGGAAAATAAAACAGAATCAAAGCAAGTAAAAAAAAAAAAGGATTAATATATTAATGTATCTCCCATACTTTACTTCAAAACAGACTGCTAGATAGTTTATTTATTTTTGTTTTTTTCAGGTAGACCTATCTTTCCCAGTTTCTTCAAAGTTTTTAGATGTAATTTATTTAACTTTGCATATTATGTCTATAATTTTGTTCACAAAAACGAATTGTGAGTGGCGGTAGTAACATTGTACATTCACTGACAGTAACTACCACCTTATTGTAATGCTCTCACAAAATGGAAAATAAAAAATGTCAAAAAAGAAATAGTTTTCTTTCACAACAAAGTGACATTGCCACACCCGATAGACTAGACTACACTCTAATAAGTGATTCAATTGTTTAATTAACTTTTAGCATGTTTGATACAGGTAAGCAGAGTTTCATGCAGCTATTTATAAAGATTTCATGTTTTTCCTGCCAAAACACAATAAAAGCTATGGTATTTAAGCATGACAGAAAAGAACTCTCCAGAGAGCATAACATGTTTTCTCCATGTTTAGATGACCTAAATATATATGATTTAGCAGTAGTTAGCTCTACTCTTTTATTTTATCTTGTCGGTTGAGAAATTACAGTACAGTGTTCACCATTAGCCACCTGGCAGAAGTTCTCAGACAGCCTCTTACCATCTGGGTTTCTTTGATCACAGCCTCACCTATTTTTCTGACAGATAGAATTTTCTCTACTGCTAAAAGAACAAACAAAAGCAGGACTGATCCAAAAAGTCCTTCGCTCAAAAAAGGAACCTGTAACCTGGTAGTGCTTGCATGGTTTATTCTTAAACCTGTAAATGTCAGTAAATAGTAAAAGAAGACTTTCCAGCATGTGTTTGGCGCTAATTGGCTACTTTTAAAACATTTTCCAAAAGAAATCACATATCAACACTAGAGGAATCATATAATTTCATCAAGATATCAGATGATGGAATTACACAAAATAACTATGAATATGAGGTGAAAGAAAAAAAGCATATTGGTCAGGAAGTTAAATTTTTATCTCCTCTGACTGCAACACATGACAGATTATTACTCCTGTTAAACCCAGAATAGAATTGGAAATCCTTCTTCTAACACATAAAGCCTTAAGCGGCCAATCTCTGTATTATATCAGGGATCTGATTGTTGCTTATGTTCCTAACAGAGCACTTCACTCTCAATCTGCAGGTTTACTAGTGGTTCCTAGAATTTGTAAAAGTAGAATGTGAGGCAGATCTTTTAGTTATCAGGCTCCTCTCCTGTGGAACCAGCTACCATTATTAGTCTTCTCACACTGAGCCTGGTTCTGCTGGAGGTTTCTTCCTGTTAAAAGGGAGTTTTTCCTCTCCACTGTTGCCACAAGCATGCTTGGTGTGAGGGATGCTGTCGAGTCAAGGAGTCAATGCAATCAGCTGGTTTTCCTTTGATATAAAACTTTTTTTTTCTGACAGAAATTGTAGTCTTACTCAGATCAGAGAATTTTTTTAGAGTTTACAGAAGACAGCTGTTCCCCTCTGGGCTCACCTCTCAGCAAGTGGCCCCGACTAACAGTTAAAAAAGCATTTTATACATTTCCAGTCAGCCACATCATCTTATTTTACATCATACACATTAGCAGATGATTAGACATCCATGGCTCCAGCCTTATCAAGTTATCACACTTTATTCTTAGCTGAAGGACACTGCTCTCATTCCATTTCCAAATATTTGCCATGTACAGAATGAAGATTATAATTGTATATCCAGACAGAGAAACTGTCTTTATTAGATTAAAACTTCAGTTCTGACATGCAACAGGCAGCCAATACCAAGGTCTAGTAAACTCAAAAGACCTTCAATGATAATTAACAATATTATCATAAAGTTTGAGTAACAATAAGATGCTATCTAAGGCATAAAGCACAGTAGAGGTAAAAAAAGAGGAATTTCTGGATGAGTCCTCAGACATAATGTTACAGACCAAACTATTAGACTCTGTATCTGGCTCCCCTGTCCATTTACAGAGAGGAGTCTTTCTTTTTATATATTCTTTTTATATATTCAATATATATGAAATACATATTCCATCTTTTTTTTATCAGACTTGGTCTTTTTATATAATATTGACTGCTCATATTGAGCTCTGACTGTTAGGGTTTTTAAGACTGTGGTCTGATGGCTGGATTAAGTTCTCCCTTTTGGACAAAAATCTAAAAATGGACCCTAAACCAGTAAGAACGTGGTCATTTAACCTGTGCTCTTCAGATGCGTAGCAACTAGTAAGTCCATTTCTTATCCTATTTCAGTTCACATTTAAATGACAAAATCAGTTAAAAGAATTCAAAAAAGGAAGAAAAATCAGCACACGCTGTTTTGGGGACTTTAAACACCCATGATCCCAACACACACACATAGCATTCACGATTCAGTTTATCAAAACAAGAAACTAACAAAAGTGTTTTTCAGCTTTTCAGTTTTTGTTGTTTAAATATTGGCTGCTCAGTTTAGAGGGAATGTACAATTAGGATGATATAAGGATACACTTGATTCTGAAAAGTTTTTGCCTCAAAGAAAGAGAGAGTGGTTTGTCTATCATTTCTAATGGGCTGCTCTAAATGATGGTGGCCATAAGAGGTGCAAATGCACTGCAGGTACATAAATAGGCTACAGTTACAAAAAGTACTGCAAAAAAATCCTAGGCTAGCAAACACAAAGATTAGACTAAAACACTAATTGCATGCCATGTGCAAACGCAGAAAATAGAGATAAGCAACTCTACTTTGCTACTCTGTTTTTGGAAAAACGCTGTAAGTAGCAAAAACAACTGCAAGTTGAGAAAAGCGGCAAACCAGCTCCAGACCACAGAGTTGCTCCACACTACTGGGGGGAGACCATCACCAACACATATGGAACCAGACCCCCTGTGAAGACATAAATATGATGCTCAGATTAACTGTTTAAAGAAGACATTAAGGTTAACTTAGCTTTTTCTTTCTTTACCTGAAATATATCCTGTGTAGGCATCCCATTTATGTTTTTGAGGTGGATCTGGTCCGTAGACAATTCATAGTAAGGTCCATGCAATGGTTGCATATCAGTTGATGATCTCCCCTTAGTGGTCTGGAGCTTTTCCATTATGCTCAGCTACTTTGCAGCTTCCTAACTTCCAGTTGTTTTTGCTACTTGTTGGTATGTTTTTGTTGTTAGTCTATTTTTTTATTTGATAGACTAATTTTTCTGTTTGCAAGCCTGTTTTTGTGTTTGCATTCCTTACTTATTTGTAACTTTGCATCTCTTAAACACTGTTTTAAATACAGACAGTTCACATCATACAACCGTCAAAGAATAAAAACTACGGTAGATATAATTCTCCTTTAGATCAGTCATGCTTGGTATTTTTAAGAAAATAACTGGAGCTAACCTGGTAGAGTTTGTTCCAGAATATAGCTGTTCATTTTAAGGGAATATATCCATTGCAGGGGTTTAATGGCTGTGATAATAAAAGAGCAGAGAGGGGCCCTTCAGAGGACCCCAGAGCTTTTATTGAGAAAGCTCCTCATAGAGGGTTAGGGATCACACAGGCAAAGACTTCCCTTCATCACAGCAGAGCCACAAAAAAAAGAAGCTACAGCTGATATTTCTCTCCAGGATGGTGTCTCAGCCACACAGGAACAGACGAGGCAAAGCTGCTAAAGCATTTTTCACTCAACGTCCTGTTCCCTCCCACCCTGGGGGAACCTGGTGGGCGCTCCAACTTTAGACTCAGAGCCGATGACACAGCCAGAAGTGAGAGGCAGGGGACACTGTCCACATGAGCAAACAGAGTATGGAGAAGCAGTGGGAGACAGAAGGGGGGGAACTGGTAGGAAGAACAAGAACCAATTATGACTGGCAGAGTGAGAGCAAATGTACAATAACATTAGTCTTCCGCTTTGGCCAGAGTGAGCTCTCCATTTGGACTCATCTCTGTCTTTTCATATTATTATTCTGTTTTTTTGCACGGAGCCCATCCAATGGAAACACATTCCTGTCATGCTTCACTGATGTTCCCTGTTTAAATTTCTCATTACAAACAGCATCCCATGCACTGACTGGAGCTGGACTCAGCATAATCAAGGAGAAGGCCACACAGCCACTGGTCCAGAGATGAAGGAGTGGGGTCTGTCGCTTTTTGTCAAACACGCCAAAATCATAGAAGGTCCTTTCAAAGGTCAAATACTGTAATTTCTATAAAATATTTTCCAGTTTCAGTCATCTTCAAGCTTGTGGATGAAAATAGGTATTCTAAGTTTATGTGTAAAATTGAAGAAGAAAACCTGATTAAAGCAGAGATGCTGGAATCAAAAGAAAATCATTTTATAAATTTTCTAGGGATAATTAGATTGAGAAGTTTCTTTTAATCACAATAATAAAATTTAGTTTTGAAGCAACTTGGATGTATTTAGTTCAATAAGCTGCAACCTTTCAAAAAGTTGTCATATTTTGAGATTGTAGATGAAAGGAACTGTGCTGTCAATCCACAGCAAACATGTCCACATAAGACAATGGTAGCGCTCAGAAGATTTGTATGGTGATCACCCTGTAAGGGGGAAAATGTCAGAAGTGTCTTGAAGAAAAGCTCTGTGTTATTAACCAACACTGGATATAAATCTCTACACGACCAGCGAAAGGCATTTTAACTTTAAGGACTGTATTTAAAAACCCTAAAAGTGACTGGAATTGTCCCTGCATTGCCCAGTGGCATCAACACTTGTATTTCTCAGAAAAACTAGACTTTCATAAAAATATTTTACAGCCACAGACCATGCAGTGATAGAAAAAGTTACACTTGTCTCTGCATCTTTAGTCCATGTTTACTCATGAGGGTTTCTCTATATCCCAGTGATGTAGCTTTCAAAGAATTAGTTGGTTGACCCAAATGTAACACCATTTAAACACTACTTGTCCACTTCAAGTTAGTCACATTTCTAATATTGAGCATGTGGTCAAGAGGGAAGTTCAAATACTCAGATAACACCTATGGTTAAACATTCTTACTTTCATTTGTATCAGACAGATGAAGACAGATGCTTTATATGAATATAACAAAACATTTTACCATGCTATCACTGGGCTTATTGCAGCTGAGTCTGCGGTCTGGCTGCTGACTCTGCTTGAGCTTTGATTGGTCCTCTTCACTAAGATTTGATGTTACTTCTCTTGAAACCAGTAGGACAGCGGTTTCATAATTCTGATTTATGCGGACAAGAAGAAATCTCTTCTACCTTCCTTTGATCACTTCCATTAAACTGAACTTCTTTCAACAAGCGGCTGCACATCTGCTGAACATATTCCCATTAAAAAGATATTTCTCTGTGAAGAAAGAAATTCCTTCTATGATTACCATAAGAGATTTCCAAATGGCGCAGATACAGACGCTACATTATCATCCATATGTGATAACGTCCTCCTCATTAAGTGCTTCAGAGGGTACTTTTCGTTACAGAAACTGTGGTTTAAAGTGACTTTAAAACAGATTTGAAAACAATGGTAATATAGATCATGTATGGAGCTAAATCAGTCTCAATTTTCAAAGACACACACATGTGATTCACCCATGCACAGAACAAGCTCCACAAACACACAGCACAATCCAGGCAAGCATAAAAAAAATCCACATACACAGTACAAGCTCCACACACACACATACAGTACGACCCATGCAAGCACACAAGATCCACACATGCACAGCAAAAGACTTGCCAAAGCAACTCCGGTACACAAACAACCACAAACCAAATCACAAAGTACCATGGTCACCAAACCCCACTGCAATCGTGCATGGACCCCCGAGACCCTCATGACGTGCCCCGACACACAAATGCACCCTTCCACACAGGGTATAGTCCGCAACCACCCACAGAGCCCCCCGCACAACCCAACCACAAGAAAACAATCCACGTGGGATGACCACCCGCCCTGCACACCCCCAGCAACACCCACCACACAGAGCTTCCTCCGTCCCTCCACTACCTACATCCAAGCACGCCGCCCCACCTCACGACCCAGACAAATTTTTGTTCTAGTTTGTGCGTAAAACAACAAATAATAATAATTCACTAGGTTCGTTACACACAGTAGGTTTAAAAACAAATGGTAGAATGATAGAAATGATATAAATGTTTAAATCAATCTGACTCTATGATAGGGTTGAATTGTCTCTGTAAAGTGCCTTGAGATGACATGTGTTCTAATAGGCGCTAATAAAGAAACAGAATTGAAATTGAACACTGTTTTACAAACACTTTTTATAAAGCTCGTAATTCCTAGGTTTGCAGTTCCATCAGCTATTTTCAGATGGCTGTTCTCTCTGTGATATGTTCAACGCTAAGGATTTTTTTATAACCCATCAATTTAAACCTTCTTTTAAGTATTATCCCTCATCTGTGTGCTGTGTTCTCATTTGTTCACTAATATTTTCTGAAAAAACTCCTAAAGCCTTCATAATCTCTACCGTTATAATTGAAAATCCTAGAATTCGTGTGCAGTATCACAATCCTTCTACCAAAAAGTGAAGCACAACTTTTTATATTTCTATTTAAACACGTTTCTGTTTAAATAAGCTGCTCAGGGTCTCTGGACAACATTTACCAGATTGTGTTACCTTGGTTTGATGTTTGAACAAGCCGTCACATAATTCCAGCATTTTTCTGAGAAGCCTAAACAATAGTTGACTCAGCTTTGTAACCACAGTTAAAAAGCCATTTCCAGCTGTTTAATCGTAGGGTGATAATTTTTATTTGTCACAGGCAAGCTTCTGAAGCAAATCAGAAAGCAGGACACATTTAAAAAAATTTAAAGCCCCCCCCCCCCCCTTTTTGTTTTACGTAAATCAACATATTTAGATTTTTTTTGGCACAAACTCTACCTTGAGTGACTCTTTTAGTAAGTTGTGCAAAGGAAGGGGCAACAAAGAAGCTGAACTCTCTTTGCAGCAGGTGGTCGTTCTGCTGTAACAGCACTCTTTCTTTACGAGGCGTCCAATTTTGTTTGAAGTTAGTAATAAACAGATGCTTGAAATGCTCTGTACTAACGAGTTTCCCCACATTTGAAGAGAAAATGCAGAATGGGTGGAGTTTCAGCCCTCTGGCCTGGGAAAGTCATCCAATCAGAGGGCCTCAAGACTTTCCTCAGCACTTCATATGGATGTGATGTAAAGCTGGGGACAAGATCAGAACCATGATGATGTGGGAACAGGTAAGCAGATTACTTGTACAGTGTTGAAATATTTGATTTTTATTTTGCTGAAGCTAAGGCAGAAAATCCTAGTACTTGCTGGGACTTATAACAATTTAAAAAAACCAAACATTTATGGTCTTTACAAAAAAATAAAAATAAAAATCTGGTATTTTGTAATAGAAACATTCAACTACAGCTGTGATGCAACAAAATGCATAAACAGCAAACCTCACTGTATCTGATCATGTTATTCCAGATGTCAGTGATGTTTTCCCCAGCTTCCTTGTTAAGAGCACTGTGCTGTCTGCTGTTGATGCCAGGTCAGTCAATACATTGTTAGAATCATTTATAATTTCACATTAAATGTATGTTAAAGTTTTTTTTATGCATGAAAGAAAAACAAATCATACTGCTTTTATTATCTGTCAAGTATTTTATTCTTTTTACACTGCTTAAAAGATAGTTCTATATCATTGTATTTTTATTTTTTTGGTTCCTTTTCTCCTTTAGGTTTCCTAGGAGCAACATCTCTGCTTAAAATAAAAAGGCCTGATGGTATTTCACCTCTTATTATTTTTAATTGGGATTATATTAATTTGTAATAGAGTAATCTTTAAAAAATGCAGTAGGATACTTCTACATCACTGCTGTACTTTATAAATGGTCATTTATCATTTCACTGTTGTAAGACATTGTTCAATGTTGAAAATTGCAGGCATCAAAGTTTACTTAGACAATAAAGTCTAAGTTCTAAATTCCAGCTAAAGGTGCAGTGTGTTTGCTTTCCATCCCTAATCTGAACAAATCTTTTACATCCCCCACAGAAAATCCTGTCAGGATTGGTTCTGCTGAAGCAAATGATTTCTTGACCGAACCTCGATCCAAGAGGAACGTTGATCCAAAATGGTATCGACGTGACCCTGACTTTCAGTCCTACTACCGCCTCTACAACAGCATAGGACACATTGAGGGTGTAAGTTAGAGATCCTCTACACATATTAGTCTGATACATTTTTTCAGGGGTCATCCATGTGTTTTCTCCTCTAATGTCCCTCCTGTCCGTTTCTCCATCAGCTTTATGAGATTGATCGGATCAGGATGTTGTATCAGCAGATGCGTCACCTGGAGCTGACCAATGGCCCAGACGCCTCCCACTACCAAAACAGAATTGGTTTACTAACCAGCACTGAAGAACCACCTACAACAACTCATCCCCCTGCACCTCCCACCACCCCGACTCCCACACCAGACCAACTTGAGGAGATCTATCTGTGCAACCCTAAGGACCCTCTGTGCAAACCTCATGTTGTCTACCTGCCAACGGGAGCTGTCCCCATACTGTGTGACCCCAGACTCAACCCCGCCTGCAGGGCTCAGAAAGAAAAGAGGATTAAAGCTTCTGCTGCACCAATGCCAGCTCCCCCTGCTCTTGGAAAGGTTTACCCACCTGCCCCTCCACCAGTCGCCATGAGAGAGATGGAGAATGAGTGTGACCCGTACTGGGATCCAGACTGTCTCATCGACCAGCCTCCCGGTCCTGTACAGGAAGCTTCATCACCAACAGCACCATTAGAAGACAACCTTGAACCAGATAAAGACACAACAGACGAAGGGACAGTCCAATTTATTACAAATGTAGATAAAAAGAATATCCCTTCTACTTATTTTGACCCTTATGATTTCAAACGTGATCTTTACGACCCATTTCGCTATGCTGAGACAGCTCCCACTCCACAGTAAAGACAACAGGAAACAATGATTAACTGGTCGACAACTAGACTGAAACTTGAGGTTACAGTTAGACATTTTAACAAATGATTCCAAATTTAAAAAACCATACAGTATCTGTACAATGTGATGGAGTATGTCATGATTCTGTCCTCTGTGGATTTGATGAGATTTTTGTGAGTTTTCAGTTACAGTTGATTTGTCATTCTGCATTTATTGCTTATTTGCTTCTTTTCCATTTTGTGTTCATTTCTTTACTTCATTCCTCATGTATGTTTCTCTCTGGCATCTCCTAGTTTTATGGTAACCTGTTTATTATTCCCGGATTTGTGCTTTTGTTACCATCTACATCTAAATGAAATTTGCTAGAAATCTTCTCTGCCTCCTCATCTCTGCATTTGGGTCCTCAACTAACTTACACCAAACTTGACAGAATAATTCTGAAACATTTCCATATGTAAAATTAAATAAATCAAATATACCTTTAGAATATCAAGGATGTTTTTTAATGAAATATTCTTCATAAAAATACATTTAAAAAAAACAAACAATTCATTTAAGTTTGCCCATCTTGGTGTATTTAAGTTTTCAACCTATAAGCTTAATAGATGAAGTTGAATACACTTGATTCAATTACTTGTTACCAATTGAAGCAATGCATTTAAGTTAGAGGTTCATTTTCTTTTAAGAGTGAATGAAGAGAGTGAAACAACAGCTACCCTTAGAGATAACCATCCATCTAACTAGTAGAGCGATTAAGGAGAGATGGTTTAGGGAGTAAATCATGGAAACAGTGGAGGAACTGCAGAGGTTCACAGTTTAGGTGGAAATAGAGCTACAGGGAGAAGGTTTAGATCAAAGTACATTCACTAATTAGGATGGCCAAGTCAAAGCCCTGTAGAAGAATATCTGACAACTTGGAAAAGTTAATGTTCAAAGATGCTCCCAATCCGTTAGATTTAAGCTTGAGCATTTTCCAGAAATGTGTAATAGGTTTTGATAGTGAAGTAAAGACAAGAGACAAGAAAAGGTGATAATAGTAATAATGATGATGGATCCTTAAAAAAATGAAAGGAACAAAGAGGTTGATAACCAGGGAACTTACAGTTTGACACATCATGAAAAGAGAAGACAGAGACACCAACACTGAGGAAGGATGGCAATGAAAAACAAAAGAGTCTTAGGAGTAGTTTGAAAACTTACAGACTTTTAGCTACAGCGAGGATGGATGAATGATATGACAATCAGGTGGGACTGTTGAAGGCAGGGCTAAGGAGGAAAAAACTACGCTGTAAAACTGATAGAGGGTGTTCATTTAACATAGCAATTAATCTCACAAAAAAACCCATGAGATTTACACTTACCCTTCAATCTCAACCAGTACACAAAAAGCAGAACACAAAACATAACTAAAAAACTAAACACCAAGATGTGTGCCAGGTAAGAAAAGCCCTTGAATAAAAAATATAATAAAAAGAAAACCGAAAGCATGACTCAAAGATCCTGACAGAATGGCCAATGATGTCATTGTGCAAATGTGCAAATCTAGTACAGGGATCTCCCAAAAGTCTTTTTGTAAATGCTGCAAAAAGGGATTCTTAAAAAAATAACTACATTTACGTTCACAGGTATGCTCTGCTCTAAGCCTGTTAATAAACTCTCAAAAAATACTCAAGTTTGGGGTTAAACTTGAAATATATAAATATAAAACAAAAATCTTTGAAGCATGAATATTTTTTCAAGATGATGTAAGTTATAGCATTAATATGTCTAAAGCAAGCTGTAGTTTTTAAATCAGGGATTTTGACTAATTTAATTTTATAGTTTATGCCAGTTAAGGGAATTCTCCCTTCATATGACTGGGCTGGGTTCTTTTAGTATTTTTATTACTATTACTATTAATAATAATAATAATAATAATAATAATAATAATAATAATAATAATAATAATAATAATAATAATAATAATAAT